TTCTGAGACTGTGGTTGGGGAGCTATTCCTCCACAAAGCTTCAGATAACAGTGGCTGCAGGTATGAGCTCCGCTGCATTATCTGGAAAACCACCCTCATGGACTCGAAGGAGAACAGTTTAAGTAACGACAGGATAAACGACATCTATGTCAAAGGGTGAGGGAAGGAGCAGAGTGCCCTCCAATGTGCCTAGTTCTGTCATTCCTGGGGATGCTCCTGATCTCGGGGTGTATTGGACAGCCCTCCCCCCGGGGTGCCAGCTCAGGGAGTGGGGACAATGAACCAAGAACCCCAGGTGAGGAGACTCTGGCCCCAGGTGGCTGTTCGGGCTGGAGAAGGACATGCAGAAGACGGACGTCCACTACCGCTCCCTGACGGGGGAGGGCATCTTCAACTGGCGGTTCATCTTCACTTTGGACTACCTGGTGGCAGAGCATGTGTGTGTCTTGAGCGAGAAGGTAACATGCCCAGGCTTCCCAGGTGGCACAATGGTAAAGAATCCACCTGCTGATGCAGGAGACACAGGTTCGATCCTTGGGGTCGGGAAGATCCACTGGAGGAGGAAATGGCAACCCACTCCAGTATTCTTGCCTGGAGCATCCTGTGGACAGAGGAGCCTGGCGGGCTATAGTGTTGCAAAGAGTTAGACTTGACTGAATGACCGAGCACACAGCCAACAGGCCCGAGGTGGGGTCGGGGGTGAGACACGCTCCCTCCCCTCCCCCCGGAGCCTGCGAGTTGCACAGAGACGCTTGGAATGTGGCCCTGTGTAGAAACCCTCCTGCTCCTCCTCCTCCTCCATGACCGTCCCATCACTGCTGGGTGGTGAGTGGCTCAGTGGCCATGAACTCTCAAGAAGAGCCAGGCCAGTAATACATGCTCTGCCACCCTCCAGGACTACATATGGAGCCTGGACCCCACAGTGACGAAGTTCCCAGCCCGGCTCATCATCCAGGTCTGGGACAACAACATCATCTCCACGGATGACTTTCTAGGTGAGACCCCAGCGCGGGGCCCGCAGCCACAGGGCAGGGAAGTGCCTGTGTCACTGACAACCTTTCTCTGGGTTCAGGGGTCCTGGAGCTGGATTTGTCAGATATGCCCCTCCCGGCTCCGCACTCCAGGCTGTGCTCTGTCAAAATGCTGGAGGCTGACCCCAAGTGGCCCCACTTCCTCCAGCACAAGCACTCGTCTCTCTTTAAGATGAAGAATGTGGCTGGCTGGTGGCCTTGCCAGGTCCTCGATGGTGGCAAATGGCGCTTGTCGGTACGAGCTGGGTGGATGCCTGTTGCCTGGGTTACAGGGCTGACTGCTGAGCCACACTGTTTGGTCGCTAAGTCCTGTTCAACTGTTTGCGACCCCACTGACTGTAGCCCACCAGGCTCCTCTGTCCATGGGATTTCCCAGCAAGAGTACTGGGGTGGGTTGCCATTTCCTTCTTCAGAGGATCTTCCCAACCCAGGGGTTGAACCCAAGTCTCCTGCCTTGGCGGGTGGATTCTTTACCTCGGAGCCACCTGGGAAGCCCACTGTCATATAACCTGGCTCTAACAGACTTCTGGGGGCCTGAGCTGAACCCCTTTTCCCTTCTGAACCCGGGAAGAGGCAGGTTCTTGTTCCTGCCATCTGAACTCAATGCCCCCACAACCCATGGTGTTTCTAGGGTAAAGTGAAGATGACCCTGGAGATACTGACAGAAAAGGAAGCCTTAATCAAAGCGGCAGGACGAGGCCAGTCAGAGCCCAACCAATACCCTACACTCCATCCTCCCTTGTAAGGGTCCCACAGGGTTAAGGCACTGAGGCACTCTTCCTGGTTCAAAGAGTTGAGCTGCTGGGCCTGGCAATTGGTGTGGGGGTGGTGCTGGGGAGGTGGCTGAGACGTAAAGAGGGATACTTAACCCACCCGCCAACTCCAGCTCAAAGCTCAGTTATAATCAGGGGAGTGCAGCTGCCGGGAGAGAGGGGTGGGCAGAAGCAGAGCTGCTTTTTTTCAAATGAAAGCCCTTTTGCTCTGGGTTACTTGACCTGAAGGTTCCCTCTGCCCTCTTCCCTTCTCTGCCAACCCTGCTCCCGGACAGACGCACCCACACCCTGTTCATGTGGATCCGGTCACCCATTGGGAGATTCATCCGTGTGTTCTGGAGACACTACCGCTTCAAAATCATAGCCACCACCATCATACTGCTCATAGGGCTTCTGCTGTTCAAGTTCATCTACTCGGCTCCGGTGAGTGACAAGCCTAGGGGACGGGCGAAGGTGCCGTGCCTCCTGGATGACCTGAGACAGCGTTTTTGGGCAGCTACTTCAGGCTGACTTTTGCTCGTTCTCTCTAGAACTATTTGGCCATGAGCTGGATCAAACCGGAACTTCGGCTCAATGCCCCCATTCAAATATACACCAATATCATCAATGCGCCAAACACCAGTAGCGCCAACTCTTCCAACCTCACCACTCCCCAGCAGAACCTGAAACCTACAACGGCCCTCAAGCTGAAACACCTCCAGGGACACGTGACGCGCCTGCGGGATAGTCTTCCAGAACTTCTGGCCCCACAGAACTAATCCCCCTGGACAGCCTGGCTCACAGACAGCCCTACCCTTCAGCTTCCTACCAGTTCCTTGTTTCTGGGGACTCAGAATAGTCTGGCCATTCTGTTCAGAGACCACTTCCAACAAGCAGAGCTGTAATTTTCCACTGAAATAAAGAGCATTTGTAACAGAGAGGCACCTTGTATCTGGGCGGCTGACACTACCACAGGCAAGGCCAGCCTCTGGGACGGGACCCAGAAGGGCGGGAGGCACCTCGCTGAGCCTCCAGGGCTCATCCACTTTGTGGGCCTCAGGCTGCAGGAAACAGAAGGCCAGGGCATCCGCGAGGAGAGATGGCTCCTGGAGGGTAAGGCCGCTGCCCTCCCCCATCACGTGGCCAGGTGGCCCCCTCGCCCTGGGACACAGCTGGGACTCCAGGGCCCAGAGCAACATTGGGCCCCACTCATGACAGGAAGGATGCCCTGGGGGCTCAGCTGGTAAAGAATCTGCTTGCAGTGTGGGAGACTGAGTGCGATCCCTGGGTTGGGAAGATCCCCTGGTGAAGGGAATTGGCATGTTTCTAGGACAGAAGGCAAGAACCAAAGCAAAAGCTACAATGCCAGTCAGATGGTTTCCTCACGTATGTTGCTCTGAGGCTGGCCCCGAGTGGGGGGCTGGGGGTAGTATACCATCTTTCACATCTTCTCGCCCTCCTCAGAGCCTCGAAAAATTCCTGAGCTAGAATCACCCGGAAGTCACAAGTGTGGTCTCCTCTGTGCTGAGATCTCCCTCCTGCACCCACGTTCGGGCCAGTTCATGAGTCCAACCTTGTGCCCCCACCACAGAGGTCTATCCAATCTCCCCTGGAACTCAAAAACACAAAACAGCTATCTGCTTCCTTAGTTCCAAAGAAACTGGTCTGAAGGCCCATAGCAGGAGGTCGGAAGGGCCCCACTGTCACCCCACCTGCAGGAGAGATCTACAGCTCATGGAAAGGATGTGAGGAAGCCAAAGACAACAGAAACCACTACCCCCACCCTCTGCCAGCTGAGGGGACCCCCCCTTGCCTTCTGCACGGAGCAGAGGGCGCTCCCATCCCAGGCAGGGCAAGGGTGGATGGGCTGAAGGTTTAGCCGAACCCACCCCTAAAGGAAGGCCACACAGAAGGTCATGTTTGGTTTTCATCAGCCACATTAAGACTCTCCCTCAGGCTACAGAAGCACAGGGCTAGGAGAGCTGAGTCCAGACCCTCTAGGGAGAGTCTACCAGTCAGCAACAGAATCACAGGGCAGACAGGCGAGCAGTGCCCGACTCCTTGTCAGGTAAGGCAGTGGCGTCAGGGCTGACCCAGACAGGAGGATGCTCAGGCTCTGCCGCTCAAACAATGAACTCTTCCAGGCACAGGTGACCAGGATCCACTGCTTCCAGACTTACAACCACCATTTCTTATCACTTAAGAAAGAGAAGCAAGAGTTCCTCTTTGGGGATGTCCAAATTGAGGCTATAGAAGAAAGGTTCCTTACATTTTGACACTCTAAGTAGGATTCCAAAAGTTAAGATGAATATGAAACATGCAGCGAAGCAGGCTCTGGAGCATCCAGAAACACCTCCACGTCCTCAGGTCACATGGTAGATGTTGCTTTCAGTGTCAAAACATGGAGCAGTTTCACCGTTAGCCCCACAGCACCCGTGACGTCTCTCATGCTTCTCCTGACTTCACACACCTGACCGGGGGCCTAAAGGGGCCTAATTGGGAGTGTTACGAACCCACCAACAGAACCAAGATCCACCCTCGAGAACAAAGGCTAGAGTGGCAAGCCCCAGCAGAATGCCCCCTCCCCATGGCCACCTAGCGAGGGTCAGTGACACTCGAGTGTGTCCTGCAGTCCCAGGCCCTAACGGAGAGGCAGCCAGGTGTCTTTTCCAGCTCAGCTTGCATCTGCAGAGGATGATGGAAGGAGGAAGAGGCAGGGAAGAGATTTTCATCCAGATTTCCAAGGAAAGTGCCTCAGGAGGACAGGGGCTTGGACATAAAGCAAAAACCAGTGGCTGGCTGGCCAGAAGGTGTGAGGAGTGACCACTTTCTAGCCTTTGAAAGACTTACAAGTGAAGCCCAAGGGCCCTGTGAGCCCAACAGCAAGGCAGCCTGGGCTAGGAAACTCCTGCCGGTGGTTCTGGCATCATGGCGGCCCAGGTTCTCGCCAGCCCTCTTCACTCCCAAGGGGCGGGACCTTGGGGAAAGGCACATCGCAGCAGTGTCACCCAACGGGGGGCTTCCTGAGCCAGAGCTGGCCATCCTCACAGGTGACGGGGGAGCCAGCGTCCCTGCCCGCAAAGCTCCAGTGACAGATCCGCACCCATGACCAGGTGCTGGCGACAGGAGAAGGCCTGCCCGGCCGGGAGGGTAGGTCAGCGGTGCTCCTCCCGCGCCTCCTAGGGACAGCCACACAGGTCAAGGTTGTGGGGGGCACTCAGTAGAAACGCTTCCGACTCTGGTCCTGCCATTTGTTGTAGAGGATGATCCCGATGACAATGGCAAAGACGGAAAACACCAGAGAGAAAAAGACGATGAGAAAGAGGGCCAGGCCGCTGAGGGGAGGCAGCGGGGCTGTCACTGAGGAAGCAAGAGAGAAGCAGGTCAGGAGGAGGGGGCCACTCGGGGAGGGCAGGACCGGCTGACGAGCGGTTCCCGTTTCTGGGAGCCAGAGATCCAGCATGCCCTCTCCACATGCCACATTTAAAACCCAAGCAGCCCTGAACTGCTCGTCCGTAACGTGGGGACCAGCGAGAGGGCAGGGCCAGTGCTCAGGTGCCCCGGAGAACAGAAAGGAGTCAGCCCGCACTGCTGGGCTGCACGGCCACCCGGCCCCCCAGCGGCCCTCGCCCCCCCGGCCGGCCATGGGGCCCTTTCCCGGGACCCCTGTGCTCACTCTCAGGCAGCTTCATGTTGTCCACTGAGGGCAGGAACACGTCGCGATGCAGCTTCTCCTCTTCCGGGGTCCTCTCCACTGTCAGCTCAAACAGCTTCAGGGAAATGACATCGTGGTTGTCTAAAGACAGAGAGAATGACAAAGGGATGATTCAAGGCGCCCTGAGAAGAATGTCTTGGTTTAAGCTTCTAGTCCACAGCTCACACACAGTGACCTGAAAAAAACAAACCCACCACCAAAACCGCGTTTCTCATCTGAAAATAAGAACAGGTACAGGGAATACTCTACATTACCCTAAATAGAGAGTTTTCGTCAACAAGCATGCGCTACCTACATAATTTTGTTTATTTTTGGCTGTGCTGGGTCTTTGCTGCTGCGCGGGCTTCTCACTGCAGCGGCTTCTGCCCTTCTGGAGCACGGGCTCTGGAGCACAGGCTTCAGCGGTTGTGGCTACGGGTTTAAGATGCTCCACAGCACGTGGTACCTTCCCGGATCAGGGACTGAAGCCACATCGCCTGCATTGGCAGGCGGACTCTTTACCACTAAGCCACAAGGGAAGCCCCCTATATAATTTCAAAATTGAGCGATAATACAAGAACTAAGCCCCAGTCACAGGTAAAACCTTCTAGTGAAAGGAGACACAGCAGCCCCACAGCTTCCCTTTAACGTGGACTACACACGTGAGCAAAAGAGGAAAGGGCCACGAGCAGGGCACAAGTCCTGGCCTGAACACACTTCCCTTCTGGGCTCTTCCCAGTTCCTTGTGACCATGACCCTGAATCTCAATATTAATTACCAGACAAGGATGCAGGAGTTAGGGGCTCAACTTTTTTCTCTCCCCTTTTAAAGTAAGATTATAAACTCACAGATTCAAACATATTTGCTGTGTTTCAATCACTGCGGATGGTGATTGCAGCCATGAAATTAAAAGACGTTAGCTCTTTGGAAGAAAAGCTATAACAAACCTGGACAGCTTATTAAAAAGCAGAGACACCATTTTGCCAACAAAGGTCCATGTAGTCAAAGCTATGGTTTTTTCCAGCAATCAGGTATGGATGTGAGAGCTGGACTATAAGGAAGGCTGAGCATCGAAGAATTAATGCTTTTGAACTGTGGTGCTGGAGAAGACTCTTGAGAGTCCCTTGGACAACAAGGAGATTAAACCTGTCAATCCTAAAGGAAATCAACCCTGGATATTCATTGTAAGAACTGATGCTGAAGCTCCAATCCTTTGGCCACATGATGTGAAGAGCCAACTCACTGGAAAAGACCCTGATGCTGGGAAAGATTGAGGGCAGGAGGAGAAGGGGACGCCAGAGGATGAGATGGTTGGATGGCATCACCGACTCAATGGACATGGGTTTGGGTGGACTCCGGGAGTTGGGGATGGACAGGGAGGCCTGGAGTCCTGCAGTCCATGGGGTCACAAAGAGTCGGACATGACTGAGCAACTAAACTGAACTGAACTGAAGGATGAGATAGTTGGATGGCATCACTGACTCAATGGACATGAGTTTGAGCAAACTTTGAGACAGTGAAGGTCAGGGAAGCTTGGCGTGCTATGATCCATGGGGTTGCAGAGAATAGGACATGACTGAATGACTGAACAACAAAATACACTGAAGTTGTACCTCTTACTGATGCACAACTCAAACCAACTCGACCCAGTGGGAGCCTAGTCAAGTGGACTCCTGAGTCCTTTTACATGAATCTGAAAGTTTTTGATGTGTTCTCTGCTTTTCTGGGAAGTTTTTAGCTTGTATTTCCTATCTTAGACCTGGCATGAGACCCATCTCCAGGAAGCTTTTATTCTCGTTGGTGGGAATTGGTATTAAGAGGCCACAAATATGAGGGTAGGGGTGCTCAGTGCTACTAGGTTGTTACTGCGGACTGGACTTCTTACCATCTGTATCATTAGGGTGACATTTACAGCTGTTTGTGGGTTCTTAGAATCTTTAGCAGGTAAAACCAGGTTAAAAAAAAAAAACACAAAAAACTGGATTTACCTTCAGTTAGAAAAAATGTTTTCTCTGCCAGGACTGAGACTGAACAACACGACAGCGCACATTTTCCCCTGAGAACAATGGGCCAAGGCTGAGTAGGTGCTGCCCGTTTCAGATGGGCATCTGCCTTCCTGTTTTGCCACAAGAAAGTTCTATCTCATACCAGCTTCATTCATAACACACTATATTAATCAAAAGAACCAAAAGTTTCTTTACCTCAAAAGACGTCATGATTGAGGCTTAGGGGGAGAATGGACATAAAAGAGAAACTTTGGAAACAAGTAGGTAGAAAATCCAGAGAAGACAGAAAAGTCTGGTTCTGCTAAGGTCACGTAAGTCAAGTAAGGCAGGAGTTTCAGGGTAACTGATCAAATGAGCTCAAGAGAAGACAAAGAGCAAACACACAGCAGAGAAACAGAGGGAGCTTTTATGAGAACAGTGCCATGGTAGAGACGCAAGTCCGAACGCAGCATTTACCATGCTGGTAATTTACAGAGGTGGATGGCCTGTAAGCAGAAGCCTCTGTACACACAACACATTCAGAAGTCTGAGCACAGGGTCTTCCCTTTCAGTAGTTAAGACTCCGTGCTCCCAGTGCAGGGGACGCAGGTTTGATCCGATTGGGGAACTAAAATCCCACATGTCTTTGGGCAACTAAGCCCAAGAGTCACAGTCACCCCAGCTTGCAAGCTCTGCAGTCCACACGCCACATCGAGAGACGCCCCAATGCAGCCAAACTATAAGTAAGTAAAATGTAGGTTTTATTAAAAAAAAAAAGAAATCTGAGCACAAAAGAGTTTGGGGGTCAGTCAAGGAAAAGCTTTGCGAGAAGGGGAAGCCAGCACGTTGGATGAAGGGACGTGCCTGTGGAAACAGGCACGAGAAAAAGGAAAGCACAGACTGGGAGCACCGGCTTGATGAAGAGGCGAGCGCTGCTTGCTGTTAGCAGCAGATCGCTCCCAGACAGGACTGTGCGAGACGACCCCCAGGCCTGGGCAACCTGGGCTCGACACACAGGAAAGCAGGAGGGGGAGCACGCGTGGGCACGCGCTTGCCAGAGCTCTGCCCAGCTGGCTCTCAGGCCCGGGCCTGCCCAGCGGGGCGTGGCCTGAGTCAGGGCCAGTAAGGAGTGCGCGGGGCAGTACCCGAGAGATCGCCCGTGATGGACGAGGCGCCAAAGTAGTAGCCCCGGGGCAGGCGGACGCCCGGCACCTCTATGCAGTCCCTCCACTCGTGCTTGCCGTCGATGTCCATCATTATCTGCAACACAGAGAGCGGGAGGCAAGTCAGGGCCGGGCCCCAGCAGCCTGCACTGCCGACGGGCGGCGCGCCCGGAACGGACTCACCGTCAGGTGCCTCTTGACGTAGCGGACCACAAGGAAGGTGTCGTAGTGGAGGTTGCGGACGATGGCCGTGCAGCCCCCCAGCTCTGTAGGCCGCCCATCCCGCTCGTGATCGTAGCTGAGCGAGCCGTTGTTCACCATGGCTGAGATGTAGGGGAACACCCGCTAGGAAGGCAGGGGAGGGAAAGCAGAGGGCGGTGAGGGAGCTCTCGCAGGGACGCCTGTGCAAACAGCAACGGGGCTTCTGCACACAAAGCTGAGCTCTGCACGACAGACCGGACGACCACTCTGCCTTGTCCCTAGCAGCCTCCGAGGGCCCACGCTCAGAGGGTCACTCGAGGGCCAAGGCCCAGAGGTGACTGACCTCAGGACCTGCCTCCAGGAACCCTCCTCCCATCTCGGGTGGGTCCGAAACGGCCCCTCTGACACTCTGGGGTCTGACTGGAATCCTCCCAGAGGTTAGCACTTGGCACTTACATTCGGCCCAAGACTGGTTTTCTTCTTACTTGTATGTGCACATGTGCTAAGTTGTTACAGTCACGTCTGACTCTTTCCAATCCTCTGGACTGTAGTCCAGAGGCTCCTCTGTCCATGGAATTCTCCGGGCATGAATACTGGAGTGGGTTAATATGCCCTTTTCCAGGGGATCTTCCCGATCCAGGGATCGAACCCGAGTCTCCTGTGACTCCTGCATCGCACGCAAATTCTTTACCATTGAGCCCACTGGGGAAGCCCCATGTGTATGTATGTGTGTGTATATACACACACACACAAATACATATCACCGACTGCCAAGTAAACTTCTTGAAAAATCATTTATCATGCTTCTTTCTATGTGTCCACCTTAGCACCACCTCTTCCCCTACAAGGGCAAGTTTGTTTTAGTTTTCCATGACAGCTGATGGACAAACTCGAATGAACTTTTTGGCCAACCCAATATTTGGTGCACCTAGGTATTCTGAAAATACCTGTTCTCTCAGGGAACTCTTTCCGTTTAGGATAGCACCTTTCAATTCTAACATTCTATAAGCACATGATGTCAAATGGATCAGGACTCAGAAAGGACAATGCCAGAACCAGGTGGCCTGGTGATGTTCTCCAGCCACAGGTGACTCTCCTCAGTCAAAAGACCTTCCAGCCCTTCAATGCACACAGCTTCTCCCAGTAATACTCAGTGGGCAAGGTTCTGCTACTGAAAGTCTCCCCGTAGCCCACCCATCTTCCCACCTACTTCGGAGACCCTCTCTCTCCAATAGCCCTTGTGGAGCAAATTCTTCCTTAGAAATGACAAGCCAACCATTTCAGAATGAGCCTGGAACTGAGGCAGTGAAGAGACAGACACGGTGATGAAAGGACAGGAAACATGAGACATGCCACTTCTCTGGGGAGTTCCTCATTGTTCTAGACAATCAACATGCAAGATGAAAATGCAGGCAGAACCGGTGACTCTGGAGACAATGGCCACACAGACTGTGAACAGTCGCAAATGTTGGATGGGCACACAAGGAAATTGGGGACGGCCACAGTGAGTCAAAAATTGAGTACCTGGACTCCTGGAGAATACCGCCTCTTCTGGGCCTGAGAGGGTCCAGCAGGTTATTATAAAAACAAGAGAGGGCACAGAAGACAGGAGACCAAGTCAGAAAGAAACATCCGTGGAAGAGCTATGACCCAGCTGTAGTGGAAGAGCAAACCAATCTCAATTCCCAAAGAGAATTTTAGGGTCCATGGAGGCAATTCCACATTCCTCAGGCCCCTCAAAATTATAGGCAAAAAACTACTTGTACATTTTCTAAGGAGAGGGTCTGCTGCTATCATCAGATTCTCAAGGTGGTCCACTAGGAAGAACTCTCTAACCCACACAGGGTCCTAAAACTTTCAGAACTTTATAAAAACACCCAGCATCACATTCTCTAAGCAGGCCTCACTTATGTCTCTGACAGTCCAAAGGTCAGGCCATGAGTGTGTCTGTGCCCAGACAACAGTACTTCTGTGGCAAGGAGAGAGACGAGGGTGATAAATAGGGCTAGAGTCTTCCAAATTCAAGATGTCCTTTACTGCCTAGGATCTCAGGCTATAGCTCTTGCCCAGAAGACAAAAATCCCACCACTTGAGAGACTATCAAATTAAATCTAATCCAAAGGGATCATTTACTCTCTAATTGAGCCTATGGACATATACCTCCAAACAGTTACTGTTATTCTAACCTACAAGATGCGGGCAAGAAAAAGCTCCGTGGGAACATTGCAGCAGGACAGATTTAGAAAAGTCACAAGGTTCAAGGGTGTTTAGCTTTGCTCCAAAAAAACTGCCACAGTTCTCAACACTAGTAGTAAGAGATACATGCACAAGCTCAGTTTAGCCATGCCCTACTGTGGGCCAACGGGTAGAACCCAAAGCACTCCTTTCTCTAATACTGGGTATGCACCTAGTATGAGCCAGGCACTGTCCCAGACGCTGGACACTCAGTGGGAAATAAGCCAGGCAGATGTCTGCTCTCATGGAGCTGACATTAGAGGGGAGGAGACATACAATCAATCTTGTTGTTGTTCAATTGCTCAGTCAGGTCCGACTCTTTGCGACCCCAAGGACTGCAGCACACCAGGCTTCCCTAACCTTCTCTATCTCCCAGAGTTCGCTCAAACCCATGTCCATTGAGTTGATGACGCCATCTAACCATCTCATCTCTGTCACCCCCTTCTCCTCTTGCTCTCAATCTTTCCCAGCATCAGGGTCTTTTCCAGTGAGTTGGCTCTTCACATCATGTGGCCAAAGGATTGGAGCTTCAGCTTCAGTCCTTCCAATGAATATCCAGGGTTGATTTCCTTTAGGATTGACAGGTTTGATCTCCTTGTTGTCCAAGGGACTCTCAAAAGTCTTCTCCAACACCACAGTTCAAAAGCATCTATTCTTTGGCGCTCAGCTTTCTTTATGGTCCAGCTCTCACATCCAAACATAACTACTGGAAAACCATAGCTTTGACTATATGGACATTTGTTGGCAAAGTGATGTCTCTGCTTTATAAAATGCTGTCTAGGTTGGTCATAGCTTTTCTTCCAAGAAGTAACCGTCTTTTAATTTCATGGCTGCAGTCATCCTCTGCAGTGATTTTGGAGCCCAAGAAAATAAATCCATCACTGTTTGAGACAGTGATAAATGCTATGATGAAAATAATATAGGTAATACAATATAGAGGAGACATATACCTGAGGAGACAACATCTGAACAGAGGAGATTAAGCAGTTAGAGGGAATTCACCAAGAAATCTGAGGGCTGAAGACGCATGAAGTTAGCATCTTCAGAACTAGGGGTGTCTGCAACTCAGTGAGTGAAGAACAGGCTGGTGGGAGCTGAGTCGGGAGCCAGACCACACTGGGCCTTACAGGCCACAGTCAGGGTCTTGGGGGAGCCTCAGACTAGCTCCCCAGCTGCTCTCTTATACCACTGGGGGCCTATGTACAGGACCACAGAAGGTATGAAACCAATCAGTGGGTGACTGAATGGCTGGAAAACTACTCTTCCACCACTATCATTTAGGACAAGGGAATTATGAATGTGTTGTCAGCATTTGACAGAAATGGGCTTCTATAACTTAAGTGAACAATGAGGGAAAAGAAGGGACTGAAAATGCACTCGGGAGCTCTGGTGATCCCAAGGCTTGCTTGATGTTTCAACCCCAGTACCTGGGATCAGAAGTTTAAGTTGAAACTTTCGAGGGAGTGCTGAGAACAGTGACCCTTAACCTAAGGGGGCCTTGCTCTTGCCAAGGCTGGTGAGGCACCTTCTTTTTCAGCACCCACCAGAGGTCAGCTGGGCCTCACCATGACCTGGGGGAGCTTTTCAACTGCACATACATGAGGGAACTAGTCAGAGAGCCTCATTCAGCAGGTTTAGAATGGGGCATGGGACTATGTATTTTTTTAAAAGGCAGGACTTCCCTGGTGGTCCAGCAGTTGAGAAGCTGCCTCCCAAAGCAGGGGACACAGGTTTGATCCCTGGTTGGGGAACTAAGATCCCACTAACCTCGGGATAACAACTAGAGAGCCTGTGTGCCACTACTAAGACCTGATGTGGTTAATTAATTTAAAAAAAAGGCACTATGGATGATTGGGATGTGGCAGGAGAATTTAAGAAATATAGCACTAGACAGGTCTACAGCTTCAAAGCTGGAATCTGTCCACTTCAGCAACTCATGGCTTGGCCTTCAACTTGACACCTCACATTAACCGTAAGTCTTTAAATGCCACTTTAACTTCTATGCCTAGTCAGGAGTTCTTGAAGGGTTTCCTGTGTACCCACTAATTTCACACAGAAGCTAATTTTCTTTCCTTGGAAAGCAGCCTATATACAGCCAGAACCAAAGGAAGAAGAATCACCCTGACTGTGGCAAAGGTGGCAGTTTCATTCCTCTTTTAAGAGTCACCAAAAATTAGGAGCTCCTGCCTGCTGTCCAAATGGTGGTTGTCTGAAGAGTGGGGAAGTGTTTTTAACTTTTTGTACTACACGGTACTATTGTACCTTCAGCATACCTTGAATGGAGACTTGTGAGCTTGTGGGTCCTATGCTAAAACTCCACAGGTGCAAAGCACACATGCTGCGACTCACTAGGGAGAAAAAGGGGCACACACAGCCCTCTGTAATCAGGGAGACCTGGGTTCTCACTGCAGGCACGCCACTCACGCCTGTGTCATACTCGGCACACCACTCACGCCTGTGTCATCTCGGAGAGTCTATTTCCTCACTGCAAGCAGGGAGAACACACAGCTCCCAGGGTTCACCATGAAGATGAGGTGAGATATGCAGAGCATTTAGTACAGTGCCTGGTATTCAAAAGGGAGTCAATAAACATTCATTCAATGACTAAGTGAATTTCCAGATGTAAATATTGTTTACAGGTGCTCACATGTAAACACAAAACCAAACATATGTTTTTCAGAGCAGTAATTCCCAGACCACTGGTTGTTATGGACCACTAAAAGTCTCCAAACACATGACACATTCTGGGGATTAATAGCTTTGCTTTTTCTTGATTTTTTTTTTTTGCCTATTAAATATGTTAAAATACAATTAAAATACAATAACTATATTATTGTATTTTACAATGACAAGACAGCCATCTAAAATACACATCAGTTTGAAAAAGAACATTTTAAATGAAAAAAACCTAAATATTTCATAATAAATAAATAAATTAGTAAAACATTTCACATTTATGAGAAGTCACTTCACTGTTCCTGCTGCCAAACCAGGGAAACTCTGTTACCAACCAACATAAGTCTAAGAACCAGCATCCAGTAGTCACTCTCAGAGCAGGTCTTACCAACCTAAACCACACTGCACTTGAGCACGCTGACCAGGTCTGCTCTCTGGAACCTAGGTGTGAAGACAAGGAGGGTGGGAGGGGAGAGGGAGAGCCCGGAGCCACAAGAGCACTGTCGAGATGCCTGCAAATGTCCCCGGGGACGTCACTCAGTGCTGCGAGTACAAACAGCCAGCACTTCCTGAGAGCTTACTCTGGGCCTAAGAGGTGCGTCTCAACCTTCGCCGCTCACACTATCACAGTGGCACGCGGACGCTGTGCCGTGCCGCAGATTCTCAGCTGTATCCTACTCTTTGCAGCCCACTGGGCTCCTCTGTCCATGGGATGTCCCAGGCAAGAATACTGGAGTGGGTTGCCATTTCCTCCTCCAGAGGATATTCCCAACCCAGGGATCGAACCCTTGTCTCCTTCGTCGCCTGCACTGCAGGTGGATTCTTTACCACTGAACCACGGGAAAGCCCAATATGTGAATGCTCTTGTTAATGAGAGGGATCGTTCATCTCTGTGGAAGAGGAGATCGTGTCTACAGTTCTACTTTGGGGAACCCATGAACCTCCTAAAATCGCATGTAAAATCCTATTGTATTCAACTGTAACAGAAATACATTTCTACTTCTCTTGAAAACTAATTCTCACCAATGAAGCTCAGCCTCAATCCCTGATGACATCTGAGAGCTGGCCAATATTCCTGGGACCTAATTTCCAAAGGAGTGTCTCTTGGAAAACACTGCCTCACCAAGGATTGAGAAAAAACAAACAAAAAACCCCACTAAATCACATCCAAATAGTATAATAAGAGAACTTACAAAGTTATAGAGTTCTTTTAATAATGTAAAAATTCTTTCCACCAACAATAAAGAGACCAAGAGGGATCAGTGTTTTCATCAACATAAAGATTGGAGGGAATGTGTTATTAAATTCACGGCATATTATTGCTTATTTTCTTCCAGTTTCAAAAGAGGAAAAACAATCATTACATTAAAAAAATATGGGAAGCACCTCAAACTCGACTTCCAAGCTGGCCTGATTTGAGAAGAGCAGTGAGCTGCTCACGCCACTCGCCAACCAGCTGTTTCTGCCTCCAGGGGTCTTTTATGACAGCTATATATGGGATTCACCTAGAGATGTTTGAAAAGGTTAAGCTGCCCATCAGACTCCCCGAGCTTGGGGCCTAGAGAGAAGTAGTTTTAAATGCTCTGCAGATAATTCCAAGAGCAACTGTAGCTAAGGCAGAAAAGAGGTCCCAATTTTAACCACCTGAAACTGATATTTTTGTTTAACATCTACTCTCCTTACAAAACAAGGCCCATCAGATCTTCCCTCTTAAGCAGAATGACTCTTGCCTGATGGTGAAATGGAAGCTAAGAGAGCGTGAATAATTTATTTCTGGGAGAAACAGAGAGCCATGTTTAAAAGTCTAGTCAAGCCCTAAAGCCCACGCATGCTTCAGATGCATTTCTAACCACCACTACTTCCTCAATGGGACTGCAAACCCTTCTCACGACGTCCCCTCATTAAAATCCTTTCGTGCACTTACCCCCTAAAATACTTATAGCTCCAGACTCCCCGACAGGCACACCGCCCTTCAGAGCACCATGTGCACGCTGAGGGCGAGTCAGCCACACTAAATGGCTCTGCTGCTGGTCTGACAGGTCACCAGCCACCCGAGAGGCTGCTCAGTCATAGCGGCCCGTGAATGTGCTTGGGACGGAAGAGCGTTAGCAGCAAAGAACACAAGGTGAAGGGCGGCCTTGGAACACGGGGAGGCTGAGGGCCCTCTTTTTCTCTCTAGCCTCATCTCTCTCTGACCCTGCCTTTTCCCCTTCACATTCACTGTCCCTTCTCTGACTTTAACACATTAACATACGCTTTTCTATCTGCATCTAATCTAATCTAATTCTGCAGATTTCAAAGTCAATATCACTTCCTGGAGGAAGTCTCTCCCAACCACCATCCCCACCACCACCGTCCCCCCCAGGTTAGATGCTTCTGCCAGGTCTTCCGAGAGCACCTCTGCAGAGGCCCCATCAGCACGCTGACACATCAGTGCTCCCGAGTGTGAGGACCACATGGATCTCACTCACTAATTCCCAGGGCCTGGCACCTCAACAGTGGCTGATGTCTGGCAGACTGAAGAAAAGCCCAGAAGCAACACCGAGAAGCAAGTCTCTAACTGACCCACAACAAAAGGTTCCTCTCGTAACTCAGGTCTCACTTTCCACGTCCTTTAAGCCAAACTCTGAATGGAAATGTGAAAAACTGCTGAATCTGGGTGTTGATATACAATGATCTGTTCATCCAATTTTTTTTATACATTTGAAATTTTTCATAAAGAACTTTTGGGGGAAAAAGTAAGTTCTGCTTTCATTTCTAATTGTGCCTTTCTTGCTAAATATTATTTAGTGATAGGATACCCAGCAACAACATGTCCTAATCATTTTCCCACCATCTGCTGGCAGAGTCACCAGACAGAGCGCACAGGCCTGCTGCTAGCATAAGCAAGTACTAGAAAACCCTTATGGTCAGCTAACGAAGTGCAGGATGCTTCTGCTAACAGCCAGACTGTTGTTGCTGTTGTTGTTTAGTCACTAAGTCGTTTCTGACTCTTTTGTGACCCCCTGGCGGGACTGTAGCCCACCAGGCTCCTCTGGCCATGTGATTTCCCAGGCAAGAATACTCGAGTGGGTTGCCATTTCCTCTTCTGGGTGGTCTTTCCAACCCAGGGATTGAACCCGTGTCTCCTGCATTGGCAGGCAGATTCTTTACCACGGAGCTACCAGGGAAGTCAACTGGATCCTCTACCAGGTTTCAACAAAATGCTGAGATTTCATCCATTTCTGTTTACAGCCTTTCCTAGAGGAGACCAGTGTGCAGGTCTGAGAAGAGGAAGAAGAAAAGGATACTGGCAAGGGGGAGGAGCTGCAGAAGAGAGCTCAGCAGTGACACAGGATGTCAGGGGAGTGGAGGCACAGAATTCAGCTTGCTCTGGTGCTGGCCTAGCCATGCAAGCTCAAGTCTAGTGGCTCCCAATGTGCGCGAGAGGGAACACTGTTTAACACTGAAAAGCCCCCATCACGAGGACCACTCCCAAGACTGTGCCAGTCATGCATGCTCCACCCAGCCATGCATGCTCAAGTCTAGTGGCTCCCAATGTGCACAAGAGAGAATACTGTTTAACACTGAAAAGCCCCCATCACGAGGACCACTCCCAAGACTGTGCACCATGAACAACTCTCTTCAGGTAAAAAACACTGACACAGACATTAACTATTGAAGTGCAACAGATGAAGAAAATAGAACCAAACCCCTTACTTCCTCTTCCGTGTTCCCTCCTGAACAACATTCCTAAGGCAAAGGGCTGTGATGTCAGTTCAATGTGGCTGACCTAAGCTATGACACTGGCCATTACCTCTTGCTGCTTCTCCTCATTGGGATAGGTGTCTACAAATACTCCCAGCCCCACAAATTTGTCCATGTTTCCAAACACAGGCCCTAGAGAGAGAGAACAGATGATGAACAACAGTGAAACAAAGCCAAGAGTTGATAAAGGAATAATACATCACTGTGATGGAGGAAAAAGTGAGATTCAAAGGACCCCAGGCGTCCCTTTAAGATGAGGAAGCAGCTGTAGAAACACCCCGTGAAGGGCTCAGCCTGTAACAAGCATTGAGTAAGCACCTGCAGTTGTCTGTCCTTAAAGGGGAGAGAGAGAAGGCCAGCGTCACCGTGCTTAGCACTCCAGCTGCTCCCTGATTTGACCTGGTTGCTAAGGTGCCCCTGAAGAATTCTGCTTCACAAACACTTGTTGATGACTATGCCCCCGAGTGAACTGAATTCCCAAGTTTCTGCTTCTAATTGCAGAAGAGATCAGGTCAGATCAGGCTCAATTTGTCACGTACTTGCAGCAAAGCCTCCCGTACAAAAAGGAAAAATAGGTAACTCTTCTCCTTTCTCCTGACTCAGGAGTTCTGAGATGGGTCTCTACTCGGGCTCAGGAGAAACCAGTACGCCCAGTGTCAGTATTTGGGAGGGCCAGTGCTTTCCTTCAGCCAATCGGGCCACGAAGTTTCAAAGAGAAAGCGGAAGTAACCAATAAACAAGAAGCCATCCCAGGATGAGTCAAGGTCAGCTGCTTTTAGGACTCAGACCCCATTCTAGAGACTAGACAGGCCAATGTGTATCCAAACATCAAGGGAGAGGGAAAACCGCTGGCACTGTGAAGTCATGCCCGTCTCCAGAAGAGGGCACGTGCAAAAGCAGGCCTGTCACCCCCCCCACAGAGCAGCCCAGCGCCCCAGTACCTGGCTGCATCCGATCCTTCGTGTACCAGATGGCCAAGCCATCCCCGTGCAGGTTCTTCTTCCCTTGCCCATGGATTCTGAAGTGCACCTGCAACTCCCAGTCTCTCAGGAAACACGGCTAAAGTGAAAGAGACGTTGCAATGAAAGAGAAGCCTGAAACACCAGGCCTCAGGCCCTCGTCCACGGTCTACACACTCGGAAGACACACGCGCGGGGGACACGAGGCTAAGAGGCAAAACCAAAATGTAAAACTCGCTAGGGGTTTATGGAGTAAAATTAAGCAGATTGAGCCACTTATCTGTGTGCGGTATTTAACATGTAAAGTGAATGCACCTCCCAATCAGCGTCACCATCTCCCAACAGAAACAGGATAGCATCCCAAGGTTGGAAGAGATGAGAGAACTTCATGTTAGACTGCTGTGATCCTATACCCACCCAGCAAAAGATCTCAGCATCCAGGGTAGAGGTGGCTGAATTAATACTCATATGCAATTATGATCACCCCTCTGAGAGAAAGACTCTAAAAAGCTGGGATCTCAAGAAAGGTCAAAGCCTCATTCATTACAAAAAAAAAAAAAAGATAACCTAAGTCATCACACAAAGGTCTCCAGGAATAATGAACATCTGCTATAAACAACTCTAATTAGCTAGACTTGGCTCTATGCCAAGCTGAGGGGCAACCCAGAGTTCCCGCAAGAAGGAATAAGCTATGTCCCCACCAGTGTCAGGCCCTCAGCCAAGGAGCAGAAATGCACCAAAGGAGACACCCCCCCGCCACCACCACCACAGAGACAGCCTTTGGTGGAAAATCATGAAGGAGGTGGGCACTAAACAGACTCCGGTTTTCCTTTTGAACTGTGTATCAAAACCTTGGGGGAAAAAAAAAGTAGACAGAAGTAAGTGGATAATTCAGTGTTCTAAATAGTTGAACACTTTGAAAGAGAAACTAGAGTAGGTATTTGGTTTGGAGAGGCTCCTGGTTAAGCTTCACCGTGAAAAATGAGGGGAAGGAAGAGCAGATAGGCCAGTTCAGGCAAAGGCCCTCCACGTAGATTGTTCAAAAACAAACCAAAAAAACCCAGTAGATTGCTCTGGCTCTTGAGCAACAATTATTTTCAGCTTCCGTTTTCAATTTCTGGGAAATCCTCTTAAAGTGCTAGTATTAGTACACAGTCAAAATAAAAGGGGTGTGGACACTTCTGAGTTCACCAAAGAACCCTGAAATCTCCAGTAGCTTTCCCTCCTCTGATAAGCCAAGCCCCCAGTTGCCATCTTGGGTTCTCATCTTTGTGCTATTTCATTTAGATTTCAGGGCAAGAGTGAAATTCAGTGACAGGAAGCTGCCCCTATAGCCAGTGGGTAAGTATTACGCCTCTGGGAAGACAATGAGGCAAGAGGCATCCGTCGTTCTTACCCTTGGCCTCGTGCAGCACGATGCTATACAGTCCTGCTCAGGGTAATGTCTAACAGTGGGGCTCAAACTTTGCTGCATGTCAGATTCACCTAGGGAGCTTTTAAAAATCCAAGTGTCCAAGCTGTACCCCATTCTAATTAAATCAGAATCTCTAGGGGTGGGACCCAGCCACCAACTCCAAAGGACAGCCAAATTGGAGCACCACTGCTCAAACAAATCCATCCTATTCAAATAACTTAGAAACAATGCTAAGGCTCACTCTGACAGTCAGATAACAAAAAACACAGGTAACAGAGAATCTGAAAAGGAGCAAGATAACTAGATCCTAGACTAGAATCACTGTTACATAAAAGCGTTACATAGAGACAGCTAGCAAGATAACAGCAAAGTATCAAGCCTTGGACAAAATCATTTATAATCCATAGACCTGTATCAGTGACTCTTATAATAGACATGTAACAAACAACAGCGTGTTTCTGTATCCATCTTAACTTTCCGGAGCATTTTCATGTCTATTGCCTTATTTTATTCTCACAGTAACCCTGGTGGGCAAGCAGCAGTGATAAGATGAAGCTCATTTGACAGTTGGAGAAACTGAAAACTGAGTGAGGATAAATAACTGAGGGTCTGTGAGACCAGTAGATTGAGAACGCAAGTCTTTCAGCTGCCAGCCCTCCACTTCTTCTATCTGAACACACTGCCCTGCATTCCGTCCAAGAATGAGCTCAGCACTGCAATCTGGGTTAAGGGGCCAGAGTATACAAATAGCTCACATAGGAACTTCTTGTCTCTCTGCTTCTTCAGAATTCTCTGCCATATAAAATGAACAGGGACAAGAAATTGTTCCTTTCTCTGAGATCCACTTATCTACAACTAATGATAAAAACCATGGGAAAGTAAGTTCTTAGCTTCTGAGAACCCAAAAGAAAGTATTCAAGAATGCCAAGGTCACTCCCCAAAGTAAAGTGATCATAAAAGATTTGCAAAGAGCCCTGGAAACCAAAAAGAAAGCATCATCTTACACTTGTACAAAATCACAGTGCAGCCACACCAGGAATACTGCATTCACTTCTTGCCGCCATACCTCAAGGAAGACAATGTCGCTAGAAAAGGTCCAGAGAAGGACAAATAAAATGACCAAGGGCTCAAAGTGGTTTTTACATGAAAATAAAATTTAAAATTCAACTCAAAAGGGAATAACAGGGGGGGAGGGAAGGGGGTCAGGAATACTGGGATGAAGTGTAGGATAAATTTTAAAGAGTAGTCTTTTATTTTATAAAGCAAAGTAATTAAATGTGAGTTGACTTATTAACCTCCAAAGTTAACACTATCAGGTCAATCAGGAACTAAAGACATTTCAGAAAACTGAATCAAAACCAATTATTTGCTATAATTAGGGGAAGAGAGATCATCTCCCTAAATATCTGATTTCAATAAGAACGTCATTATAATCTCTGAAATGAAAATACTTCATATTCACAGAAGACAGACTATGGGGGTTGGGGGGGGGGGGGCGGGACTGAGAATAGTTAGTATGCCACTGAACTTTTTTAGTAGTTTCTGGGTCACCAACACAGGAGGGAGAGATTCTTACCACCCGGTTCCACAGGGCACCTTGTTTACTTTGCATATCCGGGGTAAGGCGGATATACTGGGTCATCACCATGGCATTGCCCATCAGATTCCACAGGGAGGAACTGCTTGTACCCACACCTATGGGGAGGAAGTAGATCAGTTCATTCTCTTCAACCCCAACCCATTTGGAAAACCGCCAGGGACCCTCTGAAAGCTGGAGTCATCTTTCTTCCCCCTTCATGTCCCACCTCCTGTCACTCAGTAAATCTTAACTTTTTACCACCTTCTTTTCACAATGACTTTCTCAGGTGAAGACCCTAGAGCACATCAGAGCTGTCACTTCATCCACGCCACAGTAATCATAGCTCAAATTCATTCTTCCCCATTTTATATGTGAGTAAATTTTAGCACCGTGAAAGAAAAAAATTTCCCCAGTTATACCAAAAAGAGCTTGACCCTCTGGGGTTCTAAGGCTTAATCACATTCTTTCTTTGAACAAGAAGCTACTTTCCCCCTCACCTCAGACTATCAATCCCTTGCAAGTGAGAACTCTGTTACCCACAGTATTTGCAAAGAGAAGGCCTGGAGACATCCTCTAAGTGAATAAGCGATCACCCTTAGCAGCAAAGTATACCCCCTTTATGCTTCGTGTTTTTGTTTGTATGCTGTCGCCATACCCTCCAGTAGGGAAACACACTCGTGTTAATTAAGCCATCCGCACTTATTTGGTCCTCCTTGTAGCTAACCATGTAAATTTGCTGGTTGATAAGTTGTGCCTAGTGGCCTATGTACACTAAACACAGCAAAACCAACCAGCCTCTTTCATCGATAGGGCTCCTGGACTGGAGAAGAACAGGTGTCTTAATCGACAACAGAATTTTATCTTCTCAGTGCGGCCAAGTTCTACCCCAGTTCTGCCTCATGCTTTATTTCTAGCACATCCACAGCTCCATCAGGAGCCCAGCTCACTGCTAGTGGCCCTCGATCACGGTCCACCGTTCGCAGTTCTCTGCCCTGCCCACATTCCACCTGTCCATCTCTAACTCCCCTTCATCCACGCCGGGCGCTGGTAGCATCCGAGAACCCTGCTTCGACCTGCTGGAAACTTCCAGGACTAATTCCGAGGGGTGGGGAGACAGAAAGCTGACCCCTGCCCTCTGGATCCGTGGCTCCCGAACACAGCGAGAGTCCCCAGGGGCTCCCACCCGCCGCCGCCAGCTGGCTCGGGGTCACGAAACCCTTCGCCGCCCCCGCCTCTACGGACAAGCTCAGGTCCCGAAGCCCTCCCGGTGCACGACCACCTCGCCCCCGGCGCCTCACCCTGGTAGGGCTTCGACAGCGAGTGCTCCCGTTTCAAGTACTCGAACGTTTGACCCGCCCCGACTTGCCGTGGCCCCTGCCCAGACCCCAGCAAAAGGAGAAGGAGCAACATCCTGGAAACTTCCCGTGCCGACAAACGCCGCCGCCACCTCCGCCACCACCCAGAGGGTGCCAGGGCCACCGCCATCTTTCCCACCGCCGTCCCTTCACTAAAGGCCCGCCCCGTCGTCCAAGCCATTGGTCCGTGGGACCATCTGCTTCACGTCCTATTGGCTCTCATATAATCCCCGCCCCCGCAGGTGAGACTTTCACCGATTGGCTGGCTTGAGTACCAGTTGCCTTGCCAACCCGCCTGGACTCGCTTACGTTTTTGCATTTATCCTGAGCGCCACTAGGCCTTCTGGCATACATGGTGATCTTCATTTTGTGTCTGTGTTCTGGAGTAAATTTAAAGAGATAAAATGTTTCTTCCAGTCCCCACGCAAACCTTCTAGCCTCACTGCTACTCACTCACTCACTCACTCCTGACTATACAGAGCTACCAATCAAGAGGCTATAAAACTGAAAGGAGAAATAGAGAAATTAACAACTCAAGTAGCTGGAAAATTATCAAATTTATAAGAGGCTTGAAGAGTACTTATCAAACAACTTGACCTGATGACATTCATAAAACCAGCCAACAATGGAAGAAGACATATTCTCTTTTGTGAAAAAGAAACATTTACCAAGATAATCTGAGCCAAAAAACTCCAAACCTCTGCAAATTTAAAAGAATTGAAAGCACACAAAGAATATTCTCCTATCGTGATGGTATTATACTAGGAATCTGTAACAGAAAGATTTCTGAGAAATCCCCAAATGTTTGGAAAGTAAACTCACTTCTAAATAATCTGTGAGAGAGTAGCGGGCTCTGGGGGACTTCAGCAGGTCCTCTGAAAAAGGAAACAGAATAATCAATCCTTTACCTGTTAGTTAGTATAATCATATCTCCAGCCCTGAAGCCAAAAAACTGAGATTCATCCCAGCTTCCATTCTTTTCCTCACCAATTCCATTACCCACCCAATAAATAACTGATGGTTTTAGTCTTAATTATTTCTCAGAGCCACTACAGCCTTTTCATCCCTCCCTTTGTCTTTCTGCTGAACAACAGCAACAAGTGTCCCAACTGTTGTTCTGGCCACCATCATCAACGTGGCCATCCAAGTGATCTAAACCATGTAGCCATGCTCTTTCCTGAGTGTTAGGGTTAAGCCAGTTTGTATTTATAAAGCTGTTAGAGTAGTTTCTGGCATGCTGTAAGCACTGCTTCTATTTAGTCCCTAAGTCTTGTCCCACTCTTTGCAACCCCATGGACTGCAGCACGCCAGGTTTCCCTCTCCTTCACTGCCTCCCAGAGTTTGCTCAAACTCATGTCTATTGAGTTGGCAATGCTATCTCACCATCTCATCCTCTGCCACCTTCTTCTCCTTTTGTCTTCAATCTTTCCCAGCATCAGGGTCTCTCTCAGTGAGTGGGCTCTTTACGTCAGGTGGCCAAAGTGCTGAAGCTTCAGCTTCAGCATCAGTCCTTCCAATGAATATTCAGGTTGGATTTCCTTTAGGGCTGACTGGTTTCATCTCCCTGCAGTCCAAGTATCAGCATTATTAACAGAGCCCATAATGATTCCCAGGTGGCGCTAGTGATAAAGAATCTGCCTGCCAATGCAGGAGATGCAAGAGATGCAAGTTCAATCCCTGGGTTGATAAGTTCCCCTGGAGGAGGAAAATTGCAACTCACTCTAGCATTCTTTTCCCTGAAAAATACCATGGACAAGAGGAGCCTGACAGGCTACAGTTCATGGGATCAAAAAGAACCCACACACAAATGAGGGTTCACCATCACCTGTGAGGAACAGATTCGGACCCCTCAACTTAGCACACAAAGCCCTCTGCCATCTGACCCACAGTCCCCTTCCTTCATCTACGTGCTCCAGTTTCCCTGTTCCCTCTTCTTTTCCCCAATCCACTTCCTCTGAAAGCCTTCCCTGACTCCCTCAGGCACTCTGAGCTTTCAGTGTTCCAATAACATTTCTTACAGAGCATTTGCTTGTTTTCCTGATAGACTTAATCAAAGTTAAATCTTTCTTTCTTGAGCCTAAATATATGTAATAGGAGATACATGACTCTGAGGGCTTCCTATGTGGCTCAGTGGTAAAGAATCCACCTATACCAATGCAGGAGCTGCAGGAGACTTGGATTCAATCTTTAGATTAGGAAGAGCCTCTGGAGTAGGGAGTTGCAACCCACTTCAGAAGGGAATGGTTACCCACTCCAGTATTCTGGCCTGGAGAATTTAATGAACTGTATAGTCCAAGGGGTCGCAAAGAGTCAGACACGACTGAGCAACTTGCACTTTCACTTCACTTTTCAGTATTCTTGTCAAGACAATCCCCTGGACAGAGAAGCCTGGCGGGCTATAGTCATGGGATCGAAAAGATTCAGACATGACTGAGGTGATCGAGCACACAAACACACATGAATATGAGCCTGTTTTATGCAGGATCAACTTTTTAAAATTAAAGTTGTCACAGCCATTGATCTTTAACACACTCCACACAAAGCAGATGACTGGGTGATAAAACCTTAGGAACTGAATGAATCTATTTGTGTCATATCCTGGCTTAGTGTTTGAAGGCCCTGCTCAGCCTGCAGCAAGCAGGCTACACGTGTCTATTGCAATGTGTGTCATCCTGAATTACAGAGCTCAATTAGCAGAGTATGTGTTTGTTGCCCCAGCGAGTCTGGGCACTCCTGGACCACAGGGAGCATATCTTACTCATTTCCTATCCCAGGCCCCACCCACTTCCTGACTCTCTAACCCATCACCCAGCACATAGTAGGGATTTTAATTATTTTTAGTAAAACAATGTCCATTGTATTTCTCTGTCAGCTGGAATTTTTTTTATGGTGGTAAAATAGACAAAAAATAAGATTTTCCATTTTAACCATCGTTAAGTATATGGTTCAGCGGCATTAAGTACATTCACATTGTTGGGCAGCCTGTAAGCTGGATTTTTTGTAGATTATGTCAGGAGATCTCTCATTATAAAATTCAATGCAATGAATAAAAAGGGAATAAAAGAAGGGTGTGAAAGACAAAATGCACAGGACCATAAATCAGACTGTTGCAAAAAGGAGAATGCTCACTAGTGAGGAATGTATCATAGGAAAAGAGGGAGACCTGGGGTTTTATAGGGGCAGGTAAACAAGGAGCCATCACGATGAAGGCTGGAGAGAATCTTATCTGAGTCAGCGAGGAAGTGTGGAAGCGAGTCTTACCTTGGAATATTCTGTAGCAGAATATTCTGTAACTAGCCTCCTTTAAGGTCAGTCATTTTCAGAACTCAAAATGGGGTGGGAGGGGACACAAAAACAGGGAAGCATTTTTTGACTGTAGCTGCTTTCCAGAATTACAGGGTTCAGATGGAGTTCGACCTGTTCAGGTGTGGAAGGGAGGTGGAGGGAAAGAGATAAAGGAGCCCTGTCCCCCTCCAGCATGGCCCTACACACACAGACACAACTTCTGAAAGCTGGGTCGGGACTTGACCTACCACTCTTCTGTGCTAAGTCACTTCAGTCATGTCCAATTCTTCGTGACCCTATGGACTGCAGCCTGCCAGGCTCCTCTGTCCATGAGATTTCCCAGGCAAGAATACTGGAGAAGTTTGCCACTTCCTTCTCCAGGGGATCTTCCCAAATCAGAGATCAAACCCACATCTCTTGTGTCTCCTGCATTGGCAGGCAGGTTCTTTACCACTAACACCGCCCTTTCAGCTGCCTGATATTCCTCTTTTCTCCACGGAATCATGACCTGGGGTTGCACATCTCCAAGGAGGGGGCATTCATGTACAAAGTGAACTGTGCATTCTGGAGTTCTGGATAATTCTTAGCTTCCTGTCTTCAAAATCAGACAGGCACCTCCACTCAGGAGCACCTGGAAGCCTGATGCTCCCCTACTCCAAGAAAGAGGCTCCAGGTAGAAGCTTGGCCCCATCCTTTCTTCTCTCTCCCTTCCTTCAATTCTTTTTTTTTTCAATGAAGTATAGTTGATTCACAATATTGTGTTAGTACCACCCTTCAGTTCTAAACCTTGACACTCCATTTAAATCTCACCCAAGTCTAGGACACAGAGCAAGGTTTAACATCAGGCCTTCTATTCTTCCAGGTAGACCATTCCTTGATCCTCAGAAATCCAGGTTGAGCCTTGTGGTTGGGCTCATCTTCAGCCCCATAGTTACATCTGACCTGGCTCGACCCCCCCGCATTCCCAGCAGACTCTGGAGGACAGAAGTGGACAGTAGCTCGAACACTAACCAGTGGCAATGCATAAATTCTGACTTCCCAACAAGTCACAATTTTAAATAGCCTGGAGTGCTTTTGCCATGTACAGTTGCCTGAGACTCGCTCCCAGACACCTGATTCATAAGTCTGGGGAAGGGCCTGGGGATTTGGTTTCAAAAATTGCCCCTCAGAGAATCTGCCCAGAGCCAATTTCCAGACCCACAGCCCTCTCCAGGCTCTCTTTTCAACATCACAAGGACTTGGTGTGGTGGGCAAGGCAGCCACTGCTCCACTTTCAGGTGACGACATTTGTTCTCAGTTAACAGAGTAAATTTCAAGCAGCTTACAGCACCTGAATTTAGAGATAAGAATCAATTATTGTTCAGTCACTCAGTTCTGTCTGACTATTTGCAACCCCGGACTGCAGCACGCCAGGCTTCCCTGTCCTTCACCATCTCCCAGAGCTTGCTCAAACTCATGTCCATTGATCCAGTGATGTCATCTAACCATCTCATCCTCTGTTGTCCCCTTCTCCTCCTGCCTTCAATCTTTCCCAGCATCAGGGTCTTTTCCAATGAGTTGGCTCTTTGCATCAGGTGGCCAAAGTATTGAAGCTTCAGCTTAGCATCAGTCCTGCCAATGAATATTCAGGACTGATTTCCTTTAGGATTGACTGGTTTGATCTCCTTGCAATCCATGGGACTCTCAAGAGTCTTCTTCAATAACACAGTTCAAAAGCATCAATTCTTTCTTTATGGTCCAGCTCTCACATCCATACAAAACTACTGGAAAAACCATAGCTTTGACTATACATGCCTTTGTTGTCAAAGTCATGTCTCTGCTTTCTAATATGCTGTCTAGGTTGGT